GCTGGTGTAATATTTTTTTTTGACGGTGGTAAACTTAACAGTGGTTATTAAAGCCTTGTAAATATTCACCCTAAATGAAATTTCACATCCCGATTTCGAGGTTGTTTGTAAAATTCACTCTCTGATTAGTTTAACAATTTATAATTGTAAAACCTGAATATATTCCTGTGAGAATTGACATTGGCTGCACTATACAATATCACTTCTGTCCTAAAATATAATAACTACTTTTTTGTATTCGAACTAACCTTATGCTCTTAGAAAAGCTAAGAAATTCACACCCTGACTGGAAATTATGGTTAATCATTTGTATTAAGTAAAATGTGTAATAAGTGCTGCTAGCTTAACACGCAAAACACCCAAGCAAGTAAATATTATAATTATAGACCTACAAAGTAAAAAAAAAAAAATGTGTTGTAAATTAACATAAATGTTACGTTATTTCACAACAACACACATTCTGTTCTCCAAATATAAACTTTTGTGAACTATAACACAATTAATTGTTAAAGCTATATAAATATACAAGTCTTTTGATTTTGTAATAACACAAATGACGAGCGATTTTCATTTGAAAACTGTTTTTATTTAAATTAGATGGTAATTGTATATCCTACTTCGTAGAAGATGATAATTGACTTATTTAACTGATTAAGTATGTGGGTATTTAAATACAAAGCTAACAGTCTATAAAAAAGGTGGAAATATGCCTTATTTCAGGATTTTATACCCCTTTCTTTCGGGCAAGAATTCTAAAACAAGATAGCCTATGTAAACCGTTGGACAGATTCCAAAAATTACGGTAATTGAGGCAACCAACTGTAGCTGACAGATACTAACACACACGCACATACACATAGTAAATCATCTTTATAGCAAGATTTCTTATTGTGAAGAAAAGGCTTATCTATGACGAGTTTCAGTTTGAGCCGTTTAGGAGTAATAATAATAGTAATAATCCCTGTAGACTCCCACTGGAGCATAGGGCCCCAACAACACCTCGCCGACGGAAGTTGTTGTTGCAGTAATTTTTTAGCAGGTTGGTTTTTACGGGGCGGAGTTGCTAGCCCCGCGCCCAACCCTCCTCCTTTCTCATCCTGGACTTGGGACCAGGCAATGGTGGTGGCATCCCTGCCGGAGAACGAACCCGGTACCGTTTAGGAGTAGCACATGGAAACAAACCTTTTTTCATCTGATTTAAGCTTTAAAGTGACGTTTTTACTCAGTTTCGGACTCTTAATTTATGTTATGAAATGCCTTAATTTATATATATTATTAAGTATCTGTACATTGTATAGAATTCAACACAAAGATTGTTCATCAGACAACACATTGTACGAAATATTCATTTTATGTTTTTTAAGTCCAATATGATTGTATTGTTTTCATCTTGAACGCATGTTGTAACCATTCAAACAGCAGTTTTATGTTGTTTTTAACACAAGCGTTTTTACAGTGCGATTTTATTTGAACGTCTAACAAAAATGATAATTCATGAAAGAGCTCACATTGACTTCTATTTATAAAATGTTATGCGTAACATCAAGTCAATAGAAGCAGTTACTTAATGGTATAAATATAATATAATACTTGTTTGTTTGTTATTTTCAATCAGTAAAGCTAAGGTTATCCATACTATATATATATATTTGTAATAATTTCATTCCTTATAGTAAAAGTTTGTAACCTGTATAAAAATTATATGAACTTATCTATTCGTGTAAAACACACACACACTCTCTTACAAATGTGGTGAAGCGTGGTTAGACAAATACTGTGATATCCCATACGATCCGAAAAGCTGCTATTTTGGTGAAAAACAACGCTGTTTTTGAGGTATAGCATGCACCACATCATATGACATGTAACAAAGGTTGAGTTTTATTTACAAGCTAGCTGAGAGTACAACGGTTGAGGTGCTAAAGGTTTTGTTTAAAAGTGAGATAACTGAAATGTATAATTTACTCCATCAGTTAAACTGCAATTGCAAGGTTTGACTAGTGTCAGTGAAGTTTGTTTTTGCAATTTTTTTCTCGAATAAAATCTAAATACTGATGTCATTTCATTTTTGTATTTAGTATCATTCGTCATGGACACATAAAAAATAAAATGCATGCACGTTATTAGTCCTGCAAGTTCAAGAAATTTACGGTCACATTTTCAAACAAATACAATCAAAACAATTTTTAAGATGACTAAAGAGATTGCTTGGAAGTTATTCAAATATATTTATCTTATACGGGGTATAATGTACATACAGCCATCAGGATACTGGACAAACCCCAAACAGCTCTAAAATATGCTTCCTACACCCATAAATCTTATATTAATATCTAAAAAAAAAGACTTTTCTGCTGCCCAGTATTTAAAATGGTCTAACCGTTCTATCAAAAACATGGTTCTATTAAGTGTCTAAACTGGGTTGAGACCTAGAATTATTGAACTTAAATATTCATTATGGATGCTGCCAATTCATGTGGATTTACCTTTGATTCCAGAATCAGTGATTTTTGACCTTTAATTAATTTTATGTCAGATAAAAATTTGATAATTTTATCTACATTCATTTTTACAACTCTACACGAGAAATGGCTGATTTTATTTCTAGTTTACTCTATGAATTTCGGAATTATTTTAAAGTGTTACCTGACTTTTGCATCACCCTGTAATCTAGCCTGTTAGGGTTTAACCACTAACAAGCTAATATCTGATTCGATTTCAAATTTTTTTCTCAATTAAGCAAAAGGTTTTTCTTTCTCACAGTCCGATATTGGTTTCACAATACTAAAACCAAGAAAGTTTAAAAGAACTTGATGATCCAAGGTCTAGAACAAGATAGCATCATTTTAGTTGCACGGTAGTTTTGTACTGAAACTGTAAGTTCCTTTGCCAACATATGTGACCACTCTTTTATGTCCCTTCCAAATTCATGAATTGAAAAAAAAAATCTAGAATTTTACTCGACAATTAACAGCAGCATTTAACAGGCATATTTAGAAGGATTGAAGTAGCTATGTCTTTGACAGAGAGAACTCAAGGTTCCCGCAAAAATATTAATAAATTAAGTTACTGCTACAACAGAAATTGTTTAATTGATGGCAAAAATTTAATATCATAATGAATGAGAGCCCTCGTAGGCTTTTAAACAATAAAGTCGTCATTATTTGAGCCCCGAAATCCAAAATGAATTAATACAAATGTTCTAAAAATATTGATTTGTTAAATTGTTTTAGAAATAAATGTATCAAGTACCCTACATAATGATGGATTATACACTTGACGTTACAGCCCATTCTCTCTCTATATATGTAGTTTAATAATAGCTATATAACAATTCCATATATGGTATAACATTACATCATTTGTTAAGTCACAATACTTTTTAGAAATTAATTTGATTGTCATATTTATCATTGTTTTAATTACTTTTTATAAGTGTTATTATTACTACTGAACTTTCCTGAATTTTATCGACTTTAATTTTTGGCTGTTATTGAGGAGTTAACTTTATTTAATACTTCCTGTTGTCCATACCCCTCAGTGGCACAGCGGTATATGTACGTATCTACAACGCTAGAAACCGGATTTCGATACCAGTGGTGGGCAGAGCACAGACAGCCCATTGTGTAGCTTTATTCTTAATTATAAACAAATATGTTGCCCATTTCATATATTTTGTGAAGTGGACCACACACACAAACAATGAGAGATTGTTTTCAAGCACAAAGCTACACAATCGGCTATCTGTGCTGTGCTCTCTGTGAACATCGAAATCTGATTGTTAGTTTAGGGGCAGATTACTTCTGTTAGACCTCATAATATGTTTATTATCTTGTTTTCCTTTTTAGTACATTTAACATGGTTATATTTCAGTTAGAGTGCTAATATTCTAGCTAGTTAATATACAATTTAAATATTTCTTATTATTTTATATCATCATAAACGTGTTTTGGCTGTCCTATTGGTGTTGTCCTACTACTTGATTTTACACCTAAACAGTAAAATACGTCCAAGCATTCATCTCAGACGTTAACGTCCTCTAAAACTACATTGTAGGCTTTCATAAGTCGCAATACGTTATTAGGGAAGATTCTGTAAAGTTTTGTTTAGACGCGTTTATTTTGATGTTAAGTTCCATAACCAATATTACAGGTATGATAATACTTGTACTAAAAAAATAGTGGTTTCTGTTCCATAATAAAGGTATACTTCCTTTCTTTTTACTTTAATGTTACTATCACTAAAAATATTGGTTAGAATGTTTAATATATCTAGCTTTATTATTTCTATTATTATACTTTTATTATACAGAACATTTTACATTATTAGCTTAACATATGGATTTAGAACTAACTAAAGCTGGCCAAACCTCTTAAGATGATATTGGGTTTGTGGCCAAAAACATCGTTAACAGCGAGTATACTTAACTGATCATTTTAGTCCTTATAAGTAAGAACAGTATATTTAATTAGCTATACTCATTACCGTGTTGACTTATATTTTTGATCTAAGTAGGTAGCTCACTTTGACGGGAGTTAATATTAACAAATCATTAAGGACAACTATTAATATTCAAGGAAAGGGGTAAATGTTTAAGAAAATTATAATTCCTTCTTTAATGTCCAGCAGACCACAGACTCTGCTCTTTAAGGGGTCTTTCTTGAAGATTTTAAGAAACATTAAAAATTGCTAAACTCAGAGGAATGAGAAGGTAACACAGGGATATACAGTGCAGGTTATTGCAGTTAAACAAAATGGTAATTAAATCAAAGCTATTGGCTGGGTACTTTGTTTTTAATAAATTAACTTTTTAGATTCTTGAACTTTGTAACGATCTCTTAATTCTTAAGAATATTATACTGAAAAAACTACGTTTTTTATTTCGGATTATCTCAGATTTTATTTGAGGAATAAATCATGTAAATATTTTTGAAGTGCTGTAAAAATATATGAAATTGGTAATCAATTTTATCTTATGTTACAAAGGAAGCTTTATTTTTGAGAAAGCTGTGAAAAATGCCGATAGTGTTTCACTCTGAAAATTCGAGTTACAGTTTTTGCATAACGCGAAAAAAAGCAGAATCTTTTCGATAAAAATATTCAAGGCGAATTGGCTCTTGAAAAACTTTCCACTTCCCGCTGTCTGTTAAGTCAGCCATCACAGTCTTGAAGCTTTCTTCATCTTCTCCTTCAGAAGGATCATTCGCCAGCCAACAAATTAAGCCCCCTATCGAGAAAATGTTGGTTATACTTGTTTTAATATCACATCTTAAATTAGTATAGAATACATAATAAACGATTTGAAGAGCTCTTGCAACTAAATTGTTTATCTAAACAAATCAATAATTTCATTCAATAAGCATTTCTGCTGTTTAGAACAGTAAAAGAATATTATATATTTTCTACTATAATATGTGTAAAAAACTATACACGTGCATATATGCATATACTACACATTAGTCCAACGTACTGTTAGATGGGAAAGTTAAAAAAACACAACAAATTTTCTCAATTCGTAATGTAAAATCACATTACTTATCCAACTATCCTATTTGTCAAGCCATAAATCTCAGATTGTGCAAAATCGTTATCAAAAATGACAATAGATAGAAATTCATTATTACATAGGGTAGTAAATATTTAAATGAGTGAAGATTCAATTACGGCAATTTATACAATAAATTTTAAAATTAAAAATAAGATCGACGTTTAAGATGCACAATAGTAATTTTGTGTTGCAAAATGAATAATTTTGTTAAATAGAAATAAAGGGTTAGGTGATAATAAGGCACAGTTTGTAAAGAAATATTGATTTCTTAAGTTTAATACTCCTATCACTATCATAAGTTACAATGATTTAATCCTTTGCCTTATAAAACTACCCGCTTGACATGTAGGTTTTCACTCCTGATGATGGTAGTGTAAAGCTACCCAAACATGTAGTCTTTTAATGTTGACCATTGGCCAAATATAAATTTCATTTCGAAATTTAAACATGTAATGGTCTAAAGTAACTCGCCGCTACAACCAGGATTGAAAAATTGATATATACGTTGACAAACGCAAAAATCTAAAGTGTGACTTTCAAAACTATTGAAACTCACCAAAACCAATAAAAAAATGTGTCTGGCCAGAACTTGACACTGACGTTAATGAACAATACAGTATTTAAATTCAGATTAATAAGTGTTTCAATAAACAAAGGAATTAAAATATGAGAACCAGATAAAAAAAAATACCTAATTCCAAACTAACAATAGTCCGTATTTAAACTACAAAATTACTAATAACATCGAATAACAATCAACAATAATGTTATTCAGCTATATCTGGTGGACTAACTTGTTAAAGCTCAATATAGTTTTTTTTTATTTACTTGCTAGATCACGAGATTACAAATCATGTGATCATAAGCTACATACTCTTGTGCATAATATCTGTACATAATCTACATACTCCTGTCCACTATTAATGATATCTGTACGTTACCGCTAGGGGAAACGAATGTCAGCCTCTTAATACATACATATTTACTCAAAATAAACGTGATCAGCTAGAAGGTGAGTTAGCGTTTTAATATAACTTAAATTCATACATAAACTAAACGATAGAAGGAATAATAAATAAACGATAAATAAAATCATACCCCCCCCCCCAAAAAAAAAGAAGAAAAAATTAAAATAGAACTCTCTCTCTCTCAAACGTTGATCATATTTTTAATTTTAAAATTTAAATAAGTGTCAATTTAGTTCGGATATTTCTCATATTAAAATATGTCTAACTTGTATCGTACATTAATAATTACATTTTATGTTCGTGCTTTCTATTTGTATATTTCTGATGTTGACATTGTAATTACATGAGTGTCTATCAAAGTATTATAGCTTTTTAAAGTTGATAAATATTATATAGGGAAAATGGTCTATCATATACATAACATTAGCTTCATGCAAAAGAGTATTAATAGATACCTTGTTTTACCATGGCAATAATTTCATAGAAAGCATTGTATGGAATATGTCCTTGTCCAATTGCTCCACACGATATTGCTACGTCGTAAGTACCTGTAAAGGTTGTAAGTGTTCTTTTATAAAACTTGTCTGAAGAATTCAATGCACAGAAGTATTCAGCACATATCCTTTAAATATTCCCATATAAGTCATAGTTACGTCTAAACTATTAAGTAAAATCACAAGTATTGTCTTCTATCTTTGGCAGATTCAACAGGCTGGCGAACTGCTTGAAGTTTTAACTTTTTATGTTTAAACCCTTCTTATTTAGTTTAAAATAAACTCAGGCAAATCAATTTATATTGGAACCTCTGAGAATGTCTTCATTCTCCGTCAGCTTAACATGCTCTTAGATAGATTAGTGTACAGTTAATATATTCTATTATTATATATTGCAAGAACGTGAATTGATGCATGTGTAATTGGTGTGTTCTTATTAAACGTAATATTAATACACAGTTTGCCATAAAGAAGGAGTATGTGCTATGTGTTACACACTCAGTAACCACACTACACTAAAAGTGTCAACCCAAAAGAAGGAGTCTGTGATATGTGGTACATACTCAGCAACCACACTACACTAAAGATGTGAACCATAAAGAAGGAGTATGTGCTATGTGTTACACACTCAGTAACCACACTACACTCAAGGTGTGAACCAAAAAAGGAGTCTGTGATATGTGTTACACACTCGGTAACCACACTACACTAAAGGTGTGAACCATAAATAAGGTGTCTGTGATATGTGTTACACACTCAGCAACCACACTACACTAAAGGTGTGAACCATAAAGAAGGAGTATATGCTATGTGTTACATACTCAGTAATCACACTACACTCAAGGTGTGAACCAAAAAAAGGAGTCTGTGATATGTGTTACACACTCAGCAACCACACTACACTAAAGGTGTGAACAAACATCCCGTTCATTGCTTTCTTACTTTTGTTTTTCAGTTTGTACTTTGTCACGGCCTATGCCAAACTATCGACTTTTGATTCATATTAAATGTTTATACTATTTTCAAAACGAGACCCAAAACTCAAGCGCTTTCGAATAGTTGATTCTTCTTCTTCAGGATAATAAAGTTATAGTTGCATGTGAAACTACAACATTCATGAATATAAATGGTTGTAAGTAAGCGGTTCTTCAGGAGAATAAAGCTATAGTTGCATGTGAAACTACGACATTCATGAATATAAATGGTTGTAAGTAAGCGGTTCTTCAGGAGAATAAAGCTATAGTTGCATGTGAAACTACGACATTCAAGAATATAAATGGTTGTAAGTAAGCGGTTCTTCAGGATAATAAAGTTATAGTTGCATGTGAAACTACGACATTCAAGAATATAAATGGTTGTTGGTAAGCGGTTCTTCAGGAGAATAAAGTTATAGTTGCATGTGAAACTACAACATTCATGAATATAAATGGTTGTAGGTAAGCGATTATTTAAAGAATTCGGGCAAGGTATGTTTAAGCAAGTAAATACTTCTATTTTAGTTCCCTGTTTATCCGACATTTAAAGACAACATATTTACTTGTGTTTAAAACGTGCGTTACTATATTTAAAGCTTTATATATATACATATACAATTACGTACTTGTATTTGGATCCTGACAGCTATTTCAGTTTTCATTGGCTGTTTCAGGTTCACTTTCATTACTTTGTACTGTTAAGCTAACAATCCTTTAACTTTCCTTACTTTTATGACTCTTACAAACCAGATTTTGTTTTCTAAAGTTGTTTGTAAATCATATATTATTATGTAATTTTATTTAGATCCTGACAGCTATTTCAGTTTTCATTGGCTGTTTCAGGTTCACTTTCATTACTTTGTACTGTTAAGCTAACAATCCTTTAACTTTCCTTACTTTTATGACTCTTACAAACCAGATTTTGTTTGCTAAAGTTGTTTGTAACTCATATATAATTATGTAATTTTACTTGGATCCTGACAGCTATTTCAGTTTTCATTGGCTATTTCAGGTTCACTTTCATTACTTTGTACTGTTAAGCTAACAATCCTTTAACTTTCCTTACTTTTATGATTCTTACAAACCAGATTTTGTTTTCGGAAGTTGTTTGTAAATTATGCAATCTCACCTCCTCCGTCGAGTTAGAATCTGAGATAAACGTAAATTAAGAATTAAAGCTATTCATTACAGTAAGCAGATAAAGACAGAAAACCTTATCATGTGTTAGGATCAATGGAAGTCTACGAATAAAGATCAGATCTAAAAAGTCGGAATGATCACGGAGGATGTTTATGTTAGTATCACGTCATTATGTTTAATTTAAGTTTTGGATTTTAATGATGCTTCTTATTTTTACTAATACTTAGAAATATATTTGATTGTCTGTTGTTTCCAGTAGTTCCACACTTGATTAATATTCTGTTGACTTGATTGGATCAAAACTATGCAAATTTTTCAATATTTAAAGTATAAAAATTAAATGAAATCACCACTTCCAAACGTAAGAAAATCTACATCGACTTCTTGCTCTTTATTCATATACTGTATAGTTATTTAAATCTGCATGTTTGATTGGGTTTATTTACCAAGGATATTTAGATTTTTTTTCCTTTTATTATTTAGCTATGATCGCGGTTTATATGCAGTGTCTTAATTCTTATAAAGATTATCTCACTAATATTCTTGAATTTATGGTTTTGCCAATATATTCTTATCATCCTTAAATCATGATTTTCGGAATTCACTTGACATTTTACTTAATTTCATTCTTATTTCTTACTTATTCACACGATTTTAACTTAATATAATAGAATTAAGCACATAATTTGTTCTAACAAATTATCCCTCATCAAAACATACCATCTTTGATTGGCGACTCATAACCACACCCCATGAGGAACTGGCAGAAATTTCTGTATACATTTTTCTTTCTGGCGATATCTAACATCTCTGGTGTTCCATCCAAAGCATCGATATACTTGTAACCCATTGCATTCAACTGTAATACAGTAAAATGAAATGAAGAAAATTGAACGCATATCAATTCATAGCAAATTCATTCGAACAGTTATATTATTAAATAACTATAAACTTAGAATTGACATATTTTAAGCAGGTTTACACATTGTGTTCCTCTTTTTTTTTGTTTTCTGTATTATCGTGCAATAATTTATTATGGTAATTAATTATCAATAATAGCTATAAGTTTACTTCCACGAGTAATTTACTCACATTTTCGTTTATTTCAATACATTATATTTCATTTTGATTCTGCACAACAGAGCAATAGTCTTTCGACTTTGAGATCAGCCGGCCTGTATTTTATTATGTTTCTTTTGTCAATAACAAAGTTTATAGTAATTTCAACTTTATACATTCATTTCACTTATCATAACTTTATACACTTTATCTTCCACATACTAGGCTCTCGAATCTTAGGTTATTGCTAAGATAAAGCTACTGTGCTAAGTTTATCTTAAAATTACTAACCACACAGTGAATAGAAGGTGTCAGCTATCGTGGTGTCTTGAGTATCTAAACTGTGGCAATGACTCGTTATTTGCTTATAATTTCAGCCATATGAGCATTATAATGTGACGGTCAATCCCACTATTCGTTGGTAAAAGAGTAGCCCAAGAGTTGGTGGTGGATGATGTTGACTAGCTGCTTTCCCTCTAGTCTATCACTGTTAAATTTAGGACGGCTAGCACAGATAGCCCTCTAGTAGCTTTGTGCGAAATAAAGAAAAACAAGGAAACAGAGTAGAGTTAATTTGTTAATAGTTGTCTTGTGCATTTTTGTACCTCTAAACAAACGGTTTAAAACTGGAGATTATGACAAAAACAGATCTTGGCACTTTAGCATTAATATTAATGTTTATGATAAAAAAAAGTCTGTGCCATCATTAAGCAATATCATTTTTAACATTTGTTACAGTATTATAACGATAAAGAACATAATGAAGAGCGAAGTTTGTTTAGAGTTGTTTAAACAGCTGTCGTATATTAAAGAAAAAAAAAGAATGCGAAGTAGAGAAACATTACCTTAAAGTGGGCAAAACTTCACGAGTAGGCCTACACAGGATTTGATACATAGTATAAAAAAGGTGTGGCAATAGGCACGAAAAATGGATGCGAAGTAGGTGTGGATATATAACTACAAATACACCATACGATATTTTCATTGCAGTAGAAGTAGGTGGAATAGCAAATGTTTATGTTTCGGTCGTCTGTTGTAGGTAAATTCCCCATCTTATACACTATTGTTCTGTTCGTAATATGTAGAAATGTTACAGACCATGTCTCCAAAGTACCATAGAAGTAACAGATCGTTTCTTTCAAGCATCAGTAATGAAATGTAAGATCCATTATTGTGTATGAAATAATAACAATACAGGAATTGGATTGGATCAATATAATATATACAGTAAATGTAAACTGCCGATTCAAAGACGTTTGTTGTCAAAATCATATATACTTTTGTATTAATAGGTGAACATTTTTGAACATTCTTTCCAATTTTTGGAGACAAACCATGGAATATACTATAAGCTCGTGAATGTAAGAAAACTCTTTACAAGTATCTAAACTGAACATTACACTTCAACAGTAATATTTATTCAGCTTGTCAAAAACGATCTGGCACCATGCGATGTTTCCCAATGTATTTGTTAGAAAAGAGCTGATAGTGGAGTGATCTGTTCAAACTTATAATACAAGAAGACACACTTACCTCAAGATTAAAGATTAATTATAAACTCAAATAATGTACACTTTAACGGAACTAAAAACCTGATAATTAAATATTCCAAGATAGTAACGAATTAGTTTACCTTTTCTCCGAGAGCTCCCGTTCCAGCTGCTATGTCTATGATTTCGGCATTTCGTGGTACATTCAACTTTGGAAAGGATTTCGCAAATAATTCGGGTCCGTTGTACTCAACTTCTTTTACTTCCTATAAAACCGTAAAATATAGCTGAAGAAATATGATGTACTTCCATAAATATTTGTATTAACTGTTGTCAATAATGGAATGGAAAGTTTGATGATTGTACCAACAAACTGGCTACAAGCAAAATTCAATAACGTAAATATGGAAGTCATGAAAGACTATCAACTGACTTCATTCCATACACAACACTTCCAGTTTTATAGGTAAAGCTCGAAAGAGCAGGATGTTTTCGTAACGAAGTCATGGCTATACATACACTGAGATCTTCCATAAATGAAAACAAAAATAAAAGAAAACTAGTAAAAAGTTAAATCGTTAATCATAAACAGAATTTTGAAAAGTTTTGTCCATATTGATACTCATCAACAGAGAGAAAAAATGACCTGGTAGGTTGTTTTAAGGCTTTCCATTCATATGACTTATATTAATGGATTCTGTTTTCATCCTTGTTCACCTTTGTGATGAAGATGTCACTAATGTCGGGAAGATATTCCACATGTTAAATATAAAGAAGGTGAAATGTTTTTTAAACATTTGAGGAAAATTAAAACGGATAACTTAGCAATTGTCACATCCAAAATGCCCCGGAGTAGCATTTTGAGAGTGCATTTTTATTCCTCGAATCGATATGATGTTTTCACGAAGAACTCGGGCCCTAAAGTCGAGAACTTTCACTATTAAGCATATATATAAATAGGAAAATTACTTCCTTTATTCTAAACAACTCGGTGTAATGATATGGTAAAACCTGGAGTGTTTTATTGTGTACGTTAATGATTCGAATCACGTTAATGATTCGAATCTGACCTCAAACTAAATGTCTTTTATAGATCTTCTGATATCATTTAGTACAAAACTAATTTATTATGTCAAATAAAATTAATTTTTAATTATTCGTGCTTTAAGACATGTTAAATTAAATTTAGATATTTCATACCTACCTTAGAGCAGGTGAAATTGGATATGTTATACCTACATTGTCATAGTTGGCAGCCCAGTTTGCGTAAAACTTTTTAGCTTCCTCAGGTGATTTTTCTCTCAGGCATTCCTCCATAAATGTGTCTACATTTTCATATCCTAGAGCTTTAGAAGTATTGGACATCTTTCTTCTCACGTTCTAGTGTATTAGAAGAAAATATGACTTATTACTATCTAAACGGGAAGATAAATATCTATGATATATTTGGTTGGGTTTGTTATGAATTTCACGCAAACTACACGAGAGCTTGCTGCGCTAGCCGTCCCTAATTTAGCAGTGAAAGACACCTACTGCCAACTCTTGGGCTACTCTTTTACCAATGAATAGTGGGATTGACCGTTACATTATAACGCCCCCATGGCTGACAGAGCGAGCACGTTTGGTGGGACGGGGAATGAACACGCGACCCGCATATTGTGAGTCGTGCGCCCTAACCACAGGGCCATGCCGGGCAATATATTTGTATGTGATTTTAAATAAAAATATTTTTTGATAAGCCTGAGGCGTGGATCCTACATAACTCAATATAAATTTTATGTTCTTTAATGTGTGTATTTAATGTTTGGCCTGTTTCACCTAATAGATTTCATGAAACTTATCACAGGGAATGTTATACAATTTTTTTTACGGATTAGGTTATAGCTTAATGGTGCTTCGGGTCGATGAAAGGCTTTAACATTAGTTTCATTAAAGTGTTTTGAACATATTCAACAATCGGTTAAAATTTCCAAATTCAAACCTGGAATTCAGTGAAACAATCTATTTCGTAGTGTCTACTTAGATTTATTAACCGTGTATTTAACCTTGAATACAAAGATCGTTTTAAAAGTATCACACAGTAATAATGATTATACTAATACTCTACTAAAGATTTCATCAAGACTTTCTATCTCCGCCTTTAAATCTTTCTTTAAACGTTTATGTCATTTAGATTACTATAAACATTATTTACTCAAAACTACAAACCCCTATTTTGGCTCCATGCTGTTACCCAGAATATCATTTGGTGCAGTCAAAATACGGATTTGTAGTTTGAGTAAATAATGTCTGCAGTATAACCAGCCTTGTTCTATTACTTTTTTATGATCCCTGTGTGCAGGCTTTTTAACTCCCAATTTTTCATTTATCTTGTTTGATTTTTTAACATAAGGGATCAGTGTTACTGTAGTAGATTATAAATTTTTATTTTTGTTCATAACTGAAAATATTAAATACACGGTTAGAAAGCGTGTTATTTTGTCAATGTGAAATTATTACTTCAACATCTGAAATATGATTTTCTAACATTTTCGGTTTCCTGTCGAATTGTAGTTGGTATTTTCAACATTAATGACACTTTATGCGATAAATGGGCTGAACGGCCGCCTCATGATTCAGGTACAGCTATTTCTAATTTAGAACTGCTACATTTAACCGAAAGGCGGGATTGACTGTTACAGTTATAACGCCTCCAGAAGTGAAAGTTCCAAGCAGATAAATTGCTCTCACGCACTTTCATTGAAAAAAAATCAGCAGACTGATTAGCCTTGGTAACACAATTTTCGAATCTAGTCGGCTGAAATATTTAATAAAGGTTTTATCTATCATTTTGCCCCCTGATATAATAGCCCAATATTCCTGAAAATAATAATAACAACGATTTATTCACTTACTACCAGTCTAACGTTCAGCTTAACCCTCCTGAAGTTTCCTTTTCCTTCTTGAATTTCGAACCTCTGATCGTAAGGAAGATATATCTGTTCTTTTATATAGAACTTTGTATGACCTTTGACCAGCACATTGCGGAGTGAAGTTCCCTGGCAACATGACCACATTCAAAACCTTTAACGTCCAGCTATCAGTTATGTAGGTGAGAATGTTACAGTGCGATATGATTCGGAGTAAAAAATTATATAATTTCATTTTGCATAAGTAGCTTCGATAAACGTGAACTTTACATGTTTCAACACTGAAAGCTTACTTTACATTGAAACATGATAAAGTTAGCCTCAAAAATGTCTTTTCGAACGTTTACACGTCAAAGCCCCGTTTCCTGTAAACCTTATATTAAAACATCTTTATAAAATAATTGGTTAAAAATTTACATAATAAACACACCATCTTTTCTTCGTTTAAAGACAATATTTTTATTAAGGGATGATAACAGAACACCATAATACTTAGTGTAGAAATACATAATTCTAATTTCCATTGTGTTTTTCTGTAATAAGTGATAAAACATACTGTAAGTTGTTTGTCACGCCTAAATAATTTTCAAGTGCACCATGCAATCGAACAGAATATAACTGACTATTGGAGATATGGGAGTGCTGAGTGATCAAATTATACACACAAAAACAAACAATCTGATAAAGGACTTTGCTTGTTTGGTTTTAAGCACTAAGTTAAACAGTGGGCTATCTATGCTCTGCCCACTGCGGGTATCGAAAACTGATTTTTACCATAACAAATTGGTACGCTGGAATTTTAGTAAATTAATGAGGCAATTTAAAATTTTACCTAATTTAAGCATAATGAAAAAAAAACAATTTACGATAGCGGTAGCTCGTAGAGAACGACCTATTACGTAGGATTCGTCTTTCAGCGGATTTGCATTTCTTCAATGACGATATTTGTTTGTTATGGATTTCGCGCAAAGCTATACAAGGGCTATATGCGCTAGCCGTCCCTAATTTTGCAGTGTAAGACTAGAGGGAAGGCAGCTAGTCATCACCACCCACCGCCAACTCTTGGGCTACTCTTTTACCAACGAATAGTG